AAAAAAAAAAAAAAAAAAAAATTCTTCTGCAAAAGAGAATTGCCTCTTGTCCTTCATTTATTTATTTAGTCTATCATTTATTTATACCCACGTGGACCCATGGATATTTATTTTACACTTGGGTTATAAATCAATACTACTTTATTTATTGCTCAAAAATTTCTAGCTTTGGCTATTCGGAGTTCTTTCAGTTGACTCCTATGTCTCTCTGACATATCTCCATCAGTGTAGGGTTTTCTGAACATTTCCTTACTTTCTGGCACTACAAGATACTGCAGGCTCACCTTGTATATTTCCTGCTGCAGTCCTAGAATGAGTCACTTCTCTAAGGGGTCCTGGTTCCTTTCATTAAAGAATGATATTATAAACCAAGATCTGGGGTCCAGGCATAGTGGCTCATGCCTGTAATTCCAGCACTCTGGAAGACTGAGGCTGGAGGATTGCTTGAACTCAGGAATTCCAGACCAGCCTGGGCGACATGGCGAGACCGTCTCTACAAAAATAAAAAAATTATCTGAGCACTATTCAGGAGACTGAGGTGAAAGGATTGCTTGAGCCTGGGGAGGTCAAGGCTATAGTGAGCTGTGATCACACCACTGCACATCAGCCTGGGGGACAGAGCAAGACCCTGTCTCAAAACAAAACAAAACAAAACAAATAAAAACAAACCCTGAGATCTGGGGCGGTAGGTATATTCGTTGTTACTGGAGATGTTTGGATTTTTTTTAATGGGAGTTTTTTAGATTATAAAAGAAACACATGCTTATTATAAAAGATAATTAGAAAATTCAAAAATGTATGCAAAAATCAATTTAACTATTTCCACTATCCACTACTTTTTTGCTTTTTCTCCTCCTTGAATTTACACAGCCAGAGTTGGAATAACAGATTGGGGAGGATAAAGAGACTACTACCCTTTTTCCACAAACATGTGCAAGATGTGATGACATAAAGCACATGGTAGGTCACTGCCCCAGTGGCACTCAAAGTCTGGAAGCTCTTCCTGGAATCATGGGAGGGAAGAACGGGACAGGACCTTGGACACCACCTGGTCCAGCTCCTTGTAAATAAAGATGGTGGTTGCTGGGAGGTGGGGAGGTGGTTCTTCATGTGGGGACTGTGGCTTATGGCTTACCTAAAGTCAAACCACAAGGTAGTTACAGAGCCTGGCCCAGACCGAGTGCCAGGGACCTGATTCTAATTCAAGTCTGTTTTTTCATACTTGAAAAAGCACATTTTTCATAATGTGCTTTTTCAGTGCACTAAATATTATGATTTAGAGTAGTACAAGCCAGCAATTAGGAGAACTAACTTTGGGGTCAGACAGACCGGATTTGAGTTTTAATTGCTGTGTGACATTGAGCAAGATTCTTAACTTCCCTGAGATTGAGTTGCTTTTTTCTTTTTTTTTTTTTGTTTTGAGAAAGGATCTCACTCTATTGTCCAGGTTGGAGTGCAATGGTGTGATCATAGCTCACTGTAACCTCTGAACTCCTGGGCTAAAGCAATCCTCACATTTCAGCCTCCTGAGCAGCTAGAACCACAGGTGTGTGCCACCATACCTGGCTTATTATTTTTACTTTTTGTGGAGATGGGGTCTTGCTATATTGTCCGGGGTGCCTAGAACTCCTGGCCTCAAAGAATCCTTTGCAAGAGAGACTCTGTCTCAAAAATAAAAAACAAAAAACAAAAAAACAGAAAAAAGAAAGAATATAATAACTTGTCAGAGGTCCCACAGCTGGTAAATAGTTGTTTTGAACCCAGACTGAATCCAGAGCCTCTAAGTTCCTAATCATTACATGAGACTTCCTCTCTTTTTCTTAGTAATGAAGATAATCATTCCTATCATAAAGGATAATGGAAAATTAAATGAGCACATCCATATAAAATACTCAGTGCCTACCGTGTGTTACCTTCCAACAATTGTAACCATATGAAGTGCATAGCTGTCTACAAGTTGCTGTGATTTGATTTATATATATTTTTTGAGACAGGCTCTCACTCTTGCCCAGGCTGGACTGCAGTGGTGTAATGACAGCTTAGCGCAGCCTCAACCTCCCAGGCTCAAGTGATCTTCTCACCTCAGCCCAGGTATGCAAGTTGATTTTAATATAATTGTGAGGAAAAGTGAACAGGTGCAAAATTATTTGAGACAGTTAATATTGTTAATATTAAGCTTCGGGAACGGAAGCTACTTGTTAGCAGAGTTCTGATTGGAATTAGGGCCACACAATGCCTTTCAGCTCTCATGGTCTTTCTTGGTCCTCAAATCATGGATTCTCTCTTACAGTCTTATTCCAGTATTTTTCTGAGCTTCTTATCCTCTGGATTAGCCATCCCCTGAAAAAAGGCAGCCAAACTTCCTAGTGTGTGTTCTACATAAAGAAAGAAAATCATGTGTCTAGTCTCAGAACACACCCTCCCCACCCCGGGCCTCAACGAGAAATCCAGTTCTTCCCTGCTGACCCCTTTGAGAGACCTGGAGGGACAGAGAATTGATGGTGGGTAGAGGTTAAGATGTTAGAGTTTAAGGGTTCAGGCCTGGACCAGGAAGCTGCCTAACAGCCTAGTGTGGGGCCATGGGAGTGGGTTCTGAGATGAAGTGGAAGGCGGGCCATCCGCACTGAGATGGAGCAGCTGGAACACAAAACTCCAAGGTGACTGTTAACTTTTCCCCAGCCTTCCAATTTCAGACTTTCCTCAGGGAACGCCAGGCTCTTCTGAATTAGTCGCGGGCGGAACCATCGTCCTTTCCTTCAGAACTCTGATCAGTTTGAACTATCTAACTTCTTAATGTGGCTATACGATTGTCTGCTGCTGGCCTGCAACTTGTTCTGGGAGTGGAACTTCGGATTTTAGTCACTACTGTCGCTAGCATCCTGCAGTCAGCCACTTTTAGAGAGTATAATGCAGCAGGGAAAGAAATGAGATTTGGAATAGAGACGGGGGTTTCATCCTGCTGACCAGGCTGGTCTCGAACTCCTGATCCGCCCCGCCTCTCAAAGTGTTAGAATTAAGGCGTGAGCCACTGCGCCCAGCCCCACAGAGGTAAGATTTATGCACTTCTCCAAGCCAAGCGCTGTGCATCGAATGGAGGAACTCGTACCTTTGCAGGATTTTGTAATATATCTGAAATAATCTGGACGTGCTTCTGCTATGGTTGTTTGTCGCCATAGTTTGCGAATCCGGGTAAACCTGGGTGAGAGAGACACCTTACAATTGCAAACATTTCTCAGGAGGTCGCCGGAAAACGTCCGAACCATAGAGCTCAGTTCCTAGCTAGGCCTCCACCAGCCACTTCCGCTCGTCTGCCTAATACCGCGCCTGCGCACCGCATTTCTTCCTCTCTGGGCTCGGACCTAGTTCGCGAGGACATGGTGAGTGCGGTTCTCTGTGCGGCCTAGGTCTCTATCTGCCTGCATCTGTCCTTGTTTTCTTCTCCCGTACCGGTCTCCTCACCTGCCTTGCCCCGTGTTCTCTCCTGTCTCCATGCCTTCGCAGGAGACACCACTGTCGGACGCTGCCCCACAGCGGAGGAGCGAGGCGCCTTGGCTGGTCCTGGCGCGCTCCGGCCGGGTTAACGCCGGGCGTTCGGAGCGCGCGGCGAGCCCTGGGCGCTGGTTTTGTTGGGTTGAATTTAGGGAAAACTAGGTCACATGTAATTCACATGTCGGTCACCCGTCAGTGAGGTGGAGGAACGGTGTGTGGAGGCTCCGGGGCCTGCCTGGGTTCCAGGTCTAACTATCACTGGTTTCTCCCTTCACTCTAAACAGGCCAAACGTACCAAGAAAGTCGGGATCGTCGGTAAATACGGGACGCGCTATGGGGCCTCCCTCCGGAAAATGGTGAAGAAAATTGAAATCAGCCAGCACGCCAAGTACACTTGCTCTTTCTGTGGCAAAGTAAGTAAGGCAAAGTCTGGTGAGGGGAGAGGGAGGACAGGTTTCTTACCCAAGTGAGGTCTGACTTCAAGGTATTTTGTAAGCCGTGTGCTCGTGAGCAGTTAGAATTACTCGTGCCGTTCGTTGATCATGAGTTTTAAGATAAAAGTGTTGATGGTAACTTTAGATTTTGTGAAACGTTTTTCATTTAAAGAAAACCACTTAAAAGTTAATGGGTAAAATAATCATTTGACAGAGCGCCCCCAGCCTAAGCCAAACCTGCTTTGTGGGAAATGATTCCATCAGTTTTGTCTACTGATGTTTCTGTACCAACCCCCAAGATACCTAGTCTGTCCATCTAATACTATTCTACTTGTTCTGCGATTTTTGTTTGATAAAGGTTTGAATGTTTATGTGCAAAATACTACATTACAGCAATCCTTGTTTTTGTTTTTGAGGGAGGAAGGAAGGCTTTCACATCCTTGACAATAAGGTGAATCCAAATTTAGACTTCTGGATGCTTGTAAGATAAAATACTTGGTTCATGGTGAAAATTTGTTCTCTCTTATAGACCAAGATGAAGAGACGAGCTGTGGGGATCTGGCACTGTGGTTCCTGCATGAAGACAGTGGCCGGCGGTGCCTGGACATACAAGTGAGTCTGTTTCCTTGTCCTTGTATTTCGAAGTGTGTGGGCCACATAGGCCCACATTCCAGGTTGTTGCTGGATGGACTCGTGTTAACACTTTCTCAGGACGGAGAGAATAAGGATGCCCTTGTATTTTCAGGATTCTTTTGTGGTGATTTATTTTCAGTTACTGAAAGAGTAAACACAAAACTACCAAAACTACCAAAATAGAAGTCGGAAATCTATTTCACAGACTGCTTTAGAATTAGATGGTCACTGGGCACATAGTTGTGAACATTGTCATGATACTGTGCAGGTCCGTTAGTGGGGCTGAATCTGCTGAACGTTGATGTGCATTGCAAGTTTTGACAAAAATAGGTGAAGAGGTCAATTAGTTCAAAACTGTATTTGGAAACTTGAGGCCATCAGGACCACCGCAATTTCGTCTTTCTGAACAGTGTTAGACTCCTGCAGGTTTGTGAATCTGCAACTCAGTATCACTTGACAGGGCGATACTACAAACACTACACTACAAACCAGTGTCCAGACCTGTGTTGTCGAATACTTTAAGCACATATATGGCTAGTGTAATTAAAGAATGGGATTTTAAGTTTCAGTCAATTTAAACTTAAACCAAAGTGGAAAATGTTGAAATACATACATATATATACACACACACACACACACCCCTTGGGGGTTTTATTAGGGCAGAATGGAAAATGGGAACTAGAGTGCTTTCTTGGTTCTGATAGGAAAGTTAATTCGCATTTATATACTCACCATATAGGATGGTGATTTTCAGGTATAGTTCCTGAATTTTGTGGTAAAACTTTTGTAGTCATTTCAGTAGCTGTCTTTCCCAAAGGCACTTTAGTGTCCACTCTATTTCCTTATTCATTGTTCTCACTGTACCATCTTGTAATTTATTCATTTCTTGTAATCTGTCCATTCCCTTTTAATAAGTTTGGGTCAGCCTCTTAGAACCATTTCTGTTTTGTGGGGTGGGGTAGGGGGAGTTAAAGCTTGCTTGTCCACAACTGAGTTCCTAAAAAAAAAAAAAAAAAAAACTGGTTGAGAAATCAGGTGCATGTGATTGCATGTCTAATTCTGCAAGATCCTGAAGACATGGCTCTTAAAGGATGCCATCATGTAGTTTAGAAGCCACTCATTTCGGGGGAGTAATCTAATGTTGGTTAGATGTTTGGATCGACTGCAGCAAAGTATTGGTAGAGCAGTCTATCTCAGTATAATTCTTTCCGGGAAAATTTGGGAAGAGACTTCACCACAAAAACGAGGCAGATTTACTTATTTGCCATTTTCTATGTTAACATGCTTAATTATGTTGGAAACTGAATCTTTCTTTCCAGTACCACTTCCGCTGTCAC